CTGTCCACACTTTAGAAAGGATGTTGAAAAAACTGGCGAGGGTTCAGAGAAGAGCTACAAGCATGATCTGTAGTCTGAAAAAAAATCATTCCTTACTATAAAGTCAAAGGTCAAAAGGATCTCAATATAATTAGTTTCTCAAATAAAAATCTGAGGCAAACTGATCAGTCTTTAATTCAAGAATTCCATAAATAGATTACATTTAATCTAGCAGTCAAAGGCCTAACAAGATCAAATGGGCAAAATTGGAGTCAGCAAAATAGCAGTTGGAATTAAGAAATATTTAAGCAGCAACAATAATTAATCACTGGAAAAAGCTTATTGGGAAATATTGTAAATTCTCCATCAATTCGGCCTTTTAAATCTAGATTGGATATCTTTCCAAAAAGTACACAGCCATTCAACCACAAGTTATGAGTCTGATGCAGGAATCACTGAGTGAAATTATATGGCCTGCATTATGCAGGAATTCAGACTAGGTTATAACTGTCCTTAAAAATCTATGAAATTTCCCATAGTAGTCATTTCAGTCATTTCCTTATGGTTTACCACCACCACATCTTCCAAACTCTCTTTTAAAAGGACAGGAATATTTACAAGTGACATTCAAGCCTTAAGATGGAATCAATAGGCCAGGGATCTTCATGAGGTTTGGAAATGGACTTACTGTTCCAGGTTATGCAGTGCCAAAGGAGCCTCACAAGAGCAGTAGCACACATTCTCCTATGCTAGTCCAGCAGTAGATTTTGGCCCATAGATCTCTATATTAGCAGATCCAGTGGACCTGCTCCCATCCTAAACTCATTCTAAAACCACTTCAATTTTTCCACAAAGAGATCTGACAGGGAAAGTAGAGACAAAACCAACGTATTGCTAGTACAAATTGACAGAGACTTCAGACTCATGCCTTGAGGCTTTCCATAACCCTTTCAAAGGATTCAGGATTTGACCATTAGGATGCAAAAGTATTAGCCCCATTTCCTGAACTTACTATGGTTATATATTCTCAGTTCCTGAAAGAGATGAATTCAACATTTTCAGGTAGTTCTTCTATGAATATTAACAATCTTAAAAGATTAATTTAACCTTGTGGTCCCCAACCTTTTTAAGCACAAGGTCACTTTTTCAATTTAAGTTCAATGCAAGATCTCTCTCAAACCTAGATACCCTTGCCCCACTTCCTTCCCGTCCCTTCTTTGAGGCCCCACTCCTGCTCCACCCTTTCTCTGAGGTCTCACCCTGCTCACTCAATCCTCGCTCCTTCCCCCATCCTCATTCACTTTCACCAGGCTGGGGTAGAGGGTTGGAGCGCAGGATCTAGTCTTGAGCCAAGGAGTTTGGAGTGTGGGAGGGGCTGCAGGCTTAGCCCAGGGTGGGGGCTTGTGGTCCAGAAGGGGTTTCAGGGTGCAAGCTCTGGGAAGGAGTTTGGGTGCAGGGAGACTCATGTCTGGGACAGGAGTTTGGGTGCAGGAGGGGGTTCAGGTCTGTGACAGGGGGTCAGGAAGCAGGCTCTGGCAGAGTACCATTTGACTGAGATGGCTTCCCAGTGGTGGAGCAGTGGGCTT